CAACAGGAGTGCCATCAGCACACGGATGGACTGACCGTGACAACAAGATAATCACAAAAGTAGGAGACAATGTGAATCGATGGGGTAATCGGACTATCGTACTATCCACATAGCAACCTGACATCTTAAATTGAAAAAGGTGTGGCTTATGAATCACGAAAAGGCATCACTAGTTGAACTTAGTCCAACCAACAACGGTCATGAGGAATGCATCAATCGGTTTGAATATACCAGTGTATACTGGTAATAACAGAAGCGAACGAACGAATAGATGTCTACATATGTTAATTATACACATTTTTCAATGGAAAATCGTGAATAGATTGCAAAACGAACAATCAGTTTGAATATGGGAGGGAGTATACCCCGTAACAGATATTTCACTCATTTTAGATGTTATTTCCTTCTCGCTGTATTCGAACTGGTTCACCTTTATTTTCCTTGAATAGGTTAAAAATGATATGATTATTATGACTAAAACAGTTGTATATTATGGTGAAAGTCATATAATCAGTTCTGTGGTTAGCCTAAAGTTGCAACGGAACGGAGGAATATGTGGAATTAATATGGAATAATTGGGTCAGAAAACGTTCCCCTGAAGAAAGGTAGGTAGATTCGGGATAACTAGACACAGAACTGAAAAGGGCTGAATACCGGATACAATGTACCGATAATAGGCTGAGGGCGTCATAAACTATTTAAATTTCTGCGATACATACAGTATACTCAGGACGGTAGATTTAAATTCCGTTATAAATGAACAGTTTATAATCAGAACTATTGAGAAGAACTAACGGGATTAACCTACTTTTCATTGATCCCGTTTATTCTGTCACAAAACTCTCAATCGATGTTTATAGTACTTATTAACACCTACTACTGTTTACCCTGCTATGTCGAGTTCCTCAAATTTACCCACTTTTTCGAATTCCCGAGGGAGGCGACATAGCAGGAGATTGACTGTATTTTGTCAAATTTTAAAATCCCATTAGAGTTTTCATTTTTAAATTGCTCCTTCAAATATTCAATAAAAACCATAACGGATTTCTGTTATATTGAAATAGCTGTAGTTTGGTAAACTCGATCCCTCTTCTCCTCTAATATTTGTATATAGAGACAGAAAAGGTTTCTATTTCTACATTTCTCATGGTTAATACCTTCTGAAGTCTAGCCGTATCGATGAGATGACAATCGTGTTATCGAGTACGTATTGTAGAATAAGTTGGGTAGCTTTCATAGAGGAATTCAACTCTTTGTTTCTGCTTGTTCTTCAAACAGCGGCTAACAAAGGAAATCTGAGGGAATAGTGTGTTTCAAGTTTCCGTCATACACTGTTTATCAGATTCGGCAGAGGCACATTTATCAAAGATATTGAAACAGGATTTTCCGGTGACAGATTTGAAAAATAAACGGTCCTTTATTTATCGTCGGAGGGATTGAAATCAATCGGCGACAATCTCCGTTTGTATCAATAAAAATATTTATTCATCACCCTAAATAAAAATTGTATTTGTCTGCAATAGTTACTTGTTGAACTGCAGTAAAATTGTTCAGGATGTGAATCCATCGTCAGTTTCTATATAACTATCAGTTACATTCGTCCATATCTGGTTTACCATTAGACAAACACGGTATCAGGGAACTAAAACTTAGTATTCTTTGTTCACCGTGGATATATATTTTGAGGAAGGTTGATCATCCTCCGAAATGCATCTTCACACACAAACATCCCCCGATTAACCGGATCAAACAAACCTCAGAGCAGAACCAGGTCCACTTTTTGCTCTCATTAGAGTTAATCAGTTGTGTATACACACCCTTCAATCCAGGCTTTAAGCCCCTAATCCGTCTAACAAAAAGTGCCGCTGCACAACCCGGCTCATACCAGGGCGGATTTGAAGCCGCGATTCCAATCTGTATAGATTTCACAGTCAGAGATAGTTAGTCAGTTAATTTTGGTCTAACGGAAACGAAGAGAGGTGGCATACTATCTGTGAACTCTTATTGAACTTTCATTCAAATTCTTTGCTCCAACCTTGCAGGGAAGACTAAGTTTGGTAGAATTAACAGATATTGAACCGTCGCTCCTCGCTATTGTTCGTTTAAAATAAATCATTAACTATCATCACCACGTCTGAGCAAATACAAAACGAATTCTGTAGGTTTAAAAGTCCAATCCAATAATATATTCGCATTCAACTCACAGTTACTTATGAGTAGTAGTGTAGGATGATTGGTATTGGTTGATTTGAACCGACTGTCCTTCTAATTTCACCTTCACGCACAATCCTCAGCTCATGGAATCGACCATACATCAAATCAGCCAATAATATATTTCATATCACCATTCACAAATCACCATGAGTTTCATTAAAATGTAATTTTTCTCGAACCAATACAGACATAGTGATGTCCCCTGGAAAATCTTTCTGCCCCGAGTCACTGTTCTAAATCCAGTCGTTGTCATGTAAATAAAGTAATTTGGTTATCCTAAATAATTGCATGTACGAAAATCAGAGCTCAAAATCTAACTTGTGGGGTAGGGTTGGAAATGAACCTATTGGACGAACATTTTCCAAAACATGATGTTATTGTGCCATAGGAACGAAGCTATTGTTAGTTTTACCACAAAGGATTCATTCTCACGTGATTTCAGTTGCCCGCCTAATAATATACGTGAAATTTGACAGTTTGATAAGAAGCGGAACAACAGTCTATAAAAGAGCGTCACTACGAAACAGGCAGACTAGGCAGAACAAACACCGAAGAAATTCTGTTTCTTGCAACCACAGTTGAGTATCTAAGCCGTGCACTTATCCTGCCACTTCAGGACCATTTAACTGCAATCAGTGATTTCGGGCACATGTTTCTGTTCTGGTACTTTGTGTCATCACTGATCATTTTTGGGCTGTGTCTTGTGGAAAATTGTCAATTTAGTACTGGTATAAATTTTCACGAAAGGTTACTAAAATACTGCGATGCACATAAGTACTGTTTCACAGAGGGTAGAAGTCACGGTAGATTTGGTTTCATGGTCGGAAGTTGTTTACTTAGTGTGATGGATATGGCACGGGATGGGAATTCCGTGTGGATCAATGTGCACTCATTACTCATCGATGATGAAAATACACTTCATGAAAAATGGATTTACGGAGAAAACAATTTTCCCTTATCTGCGGATCATATGCGATATTTCGCGACCGGCAGTGAAGAATTCAATCCAATACGTGCCCACTTAATGGTTCTTAAAGATGGAAAATTGATTCCATCCCAAATGGCAAACGTTGAGAACGCAGTTGCTTGTCAGATGAATGACTATTCGCCGAAACCAATGAATGTTCGTACGGAACTATTTCGAAAGGCGTATGCCACGAAAACAATTAGCTGGATCGAAGAAAACACAAAATATGAAGGCTGCTTTGTGGAATATATGCAACAAACGTCTATTTCTTGTGGATTGAAGTAAGCTCTATTTAAACATTTTTCACTTAGCCATCCATGATTTGAATAACTCACAATAAAATAACAAAATTTGCCGATTCACTCAGATTTCACACAGGTACTGGATTTTGTACACAGGTAACAAATCATTGCAGATCATTTTCAATCACATTTGAGAGAACAAAAAGGGCACTTTGTTTAAGGAAAAAATTGAATATCTATTTAGTTTCCTTCCGTTTTATTATTTTTGGAAAAAAGAAAATAACATTAACTTAAGACTCTTCACCTGCCATGGGGTCACTGTATTACATCATTAAACTCCTAACGACTACAACCCAAGCATTTGTCGAGCGGAATTCATAACCGCTTTTCTATAACAATTGGTTCGTGATGAATAAGTTATTCGATAGTTGTGTATTATTCATTGCGCTTAAAGATGATGGTTTGACTACCATCTTGCTTTGTACTTTTTTGGATGAAAGGAACTTATGAAAAGCATTATGTAGTAAACATTCTAAAATTGATTTCACCCATTATATTAACCATAAATAAGATTAACTGATGAGCACAGTAATGTATCGTCAAAAAACAACGCAAACATCCTTGAATATTTTTCAGCGTAGACAAATTCGCACCTAGCAGTGAAGCATTTTCGCATCTTTATTATGATAAATATGTTGTTAAGTTCTAATTTATTTTTCTCTTGTAATATTTGTCGGATGTTTAAAATAACACTTTAAACTTCTGAGGCACCGGTATGGTGTAAAATATTAATTTTTATGTTGAAACATACGATGGTTGTGTGCAAATATTTCTTACAGAAATGTAAACAAATGCTTACAAAAGATATAATCAAATAAAAGAAAAATCTGGAGCACATCTTCACATTTATCAGCACTAAAGCAAAAGCAATAATCACTTCTTATTTCCCAGTTCAGTCGATCCCGTTCTCATTAGCTTGTTATTTTTTTGTATTTCACTGAGGCATGGGAAAACTGTGTGTAGTGAATATTCTAGGATACCTGTTGAATAAAGTTTTCCAAAATTTAAAGATTAACAAAAGTTTTCTGTGCGGAGGGCAGATGAACAAACACCAAGTTTCTTACTTCTCCATCTCGTGGCGTGCAGTTGAAATATCGAAACAAAATCATCCCAATTACATTTGTCCCGAAGTGTGTTGCCTTTTGGCTTACAAAGAAAACTGTACTGCTATTGGCCCAAGACAATGGCGGGAAACATAGTCTACATCCTTTTTTTATTTATTCACAGCATTTGCGATCTAATAGTTAATATAGAAATACAATTTGAGACTGTATGTTCGAAGTCATACGACTGAATGATTTCATAAAACGAGTAAACTAACCCTTGTATCACATCGTGCATTTGCATATCCTGTTTCTACATAAATTTTTGTTTGGTTATTTAACAATATTTTCTTTCTATTTAATAGATAATTTTACAAACAATTTTGAAAGGGAAGAGATCCTTGACCATTCAGAGGGCTGTCCTGCGACAAAAAGGCTAGCGGAAATTTTGACGTCAGTTTGAACACTCGACCCCCGATATAGTCATTTGAATGCCCTTAACTGCTTGACCGCTGCTGCCCAGAATATTAGCTGTTTTATTCAAAAGATCGATCAGACCAATATACTAGGAAAACAATATAAGATTGTAATGATATGTAAAAGCAAACAGTGTTCATAACTCCTATTTGGTCAAATCCTTCTCTTAAGTAATAAATCTCATAGTATTTCATTCAACCTCGAATTTTAAGAATGTAGTCTCTTCGCTCTTTACCTTTTTCAAATTGGTCATCCACAGACAAATATCGCATCTCTTTGTACATCGTCAGCTATTTCCCCCCTGAAATCGATAACTACATGGCACAACATCTGAACGTAAAAACGCACAGAGTCCTGTCACAGCTGCAGGCGATTTGCCTTACTTCTTTCAAGTTAATATTTCTTAGCCTTCATTTTCACCCAAACGTGCTTGCCTAACCGCTCAAAGTTATTTTAGTTGCGCTAGAGACTAGTTCAAGTGCGATTATCTCAGTGTGGCCCTTAAACTCTTTGGTTCCATTTTTGAGTAATTTTTTTCGATTTTCTTCCCACACCACAAAGAATAAAATCATTTCTCAAAGAATGACGACGATTTCCACTTCTTTGTTAGCTTGCGGAAGACGGACTACGGACGATTGATTCCGCTACGGTGTAAAAAAATAAATTGAACCATACAAGAATGGATCGAACTCGTGTAATATGACTCTCAATTTTAAATATATTTCAGTTTCCATCATCAAACTTGCGTATCGATATCTAGGGGTGAATAGCGTTTAGTCTAATTTGTATCTTCAAGTGCAATGTTTTTAGTTCTTCTGTATCACTAATTGAATTGACCTGATTTTGTTTGTCCCGATGAAGTTTGTACTGGTTTAAACGTTACAGTTTATATTAGAAAACAATTACTACAAGGCATCATTCTTCCTAATAAATGATTTTCCTCTCCTGGTAGTACTTATGCTGGTTAATAGAATTATTCTAAATGGCATGTTTTTTCATACGCATCAACGTAAATATGGGTCAAGTCAAGTCAAGGAATCGATTTATGCAGCTCGAAGCGTGGATATTGGATATAACCACAGTGTGTCAACAATTAAACAAACTGAAATGTGATACAGCAATCAAAAAAGTGAAATACACAGAAACATCAAAAAACCAATCGTATAATCGGATGTTCATGGGTGGTTTCATTTAGCAGTTTGCGCAGACTTTCTGCAACTAGTTTATGGTTTGTAAGAAATCTGGGGAGATACGTACGATACAATAGAGTTCCTATCAGCTTAAGTGCGTACCTTTATAAGTTTACCGAATAAATATAATTATTTATTCTAACCAGGTTGACAACTCACGTGATAATAAACGGCTCACTTATATAAGCTCATACTGAAGGGTTAAGGAAAGGAAGCACATGCCGAGCGCCTTTTGGTTGCCTTCTCGTATGCGCCACTCTGGACAGATGAAGTATTTTTTCGACGGCCACCACTCCCAAACGCCTTCGCAAAAAAGTTATATTCTGCTGAAATGAGGCTTAGCATTACACCTCGCTTGCAGTTGGACATGGAAAGCGTGTAGACCTCATCATATCTACTGTTTTTTCATAAGCAAGCCAGTTCAAGATCGGTAAGTTACATTGCTGGAATCATGCAATTAACCCCCAACAGTTCGGATTTGTATATAATCAAAAACGTTTTCTCTGTGTTGGAAACGGAGAAGTTAGCTACCTCGACAGTGATCCTCGGTGGGCATCGTGCAGACCGTCAAATTGGTGGGCCCCATAAAAAGCCGGATAACTTTTTAATTGGCCCGGTGGTAACGTCACCAGCGTGTGTTCGAGTGTTCAAATCTCATCACCACCGCCGGAGTTTGCCCATTTGTGTGTTATATGGCAGCTCTCAGATTAACCGTTTCCCACTTCATGAAAATTGTATCTTCGTATACTCAATTAAATAAAGTAAAAATGAATAAATTATAAAATCAAAATGATTAAAAAGTGCTCTTCAGTGCCCATGGTGCAATTTGGTAGACTCCTTACAAAACCGGATAGTCCAAGTGCTCAAAAATAAAGGGTAGCAAACAGGGTATTGATAAAATGAAAGGACAACGCATGTCACATACCCGGGCTATCCTTATAAACAAATTATAACGATGTTTTTCACTGCGGTTTCATTACCTTACAACCGGTGCCACAGCGACCGTTGTCGAAATCAAAAAATTACATTCTTATCAGATATTTAATCAGTAGAAGCAACAACAAATAAATACTTTCATTAGTTTGTTGCCTCTGATGTGGGATAATACCACATTCAATCCCGTGAATGTAACTCAAAAGATCAAGCAACAAATCAAGGAACAAATCTGGCTAGAATCAAGAGGTCACGCGAATTCAATCCCTATTTGTAGTATATGCAGAATGTATTGCGGCGGCGGTTGGTTAAGTGGAAAACCAAAACTCGAGCACAACTCATTCACCAAATCTTTCATACCTATGTTGATTTGCTCCTTGTTGGTTTTAGAATTGAATGTGCAATGACCGCAACATTATTTCTTAGCGTTTTCTGCAGTCACATGTTTCTTCCCGAATCTCACGTGTTCCATTATGAATTGATCCAGTGTATGAAATGCATTCTTTTCGTTTTCTACCTTTGAAAATTCTGGTTTTCAATGTATGCGGTTCAGACCCGTCTACCTAAAACACTCAAACTTGCTAGCTTCAGCCAGACTATCACTATCTATTAAATTCATCTTAAAACTGAGATATGATTTTTTCTCTCGACCAACGGGGCCGAAACAGATTCTTCGATTCTGCTTTAGGAGGTGCAAAAGAATAATTTATCAATGAGTTGAGCTCTTCTTATCCGGCTTACCCACATCTGTAGAAATCAATTTTACATAAACCACAACTGAACAGGTTTGACTCCGCATTTGTTTGACTGCTGAATCAGCTGATAGTCCATCTTGTTTGGTGGATCACAAATTAGACGAGTTGTGGTGAAAACTCCGTTTTCACGGAAAAATATATCAAAAAGGAAGAAGTTCGGTTTCCATGAAACCTTCCTTTCATTAATATCAAGAAAAGTTACACTTGGAAAGCAACGAACGGGTCAGTTACACCTTACCTCAGGTTAGTGAAAAATACGTGGATTTAATGTACATCGGTGGCCGCCGTGGGGCATATGTTGTCCGGCAGAACAGTATCACTGAATCTTCATGAAACTCTACACATGCTCCCGTTTACATATTTATTTGTTTACCTACTATTCACTTGATATTGTCCAAACCTAGACATATTATCGAACAGCCAATATTTTGTGCCCCGACATTAGCTTCTCGATCACCACGAATAACCTCAGCTCTTTTTGTTCGCCTAAGAATGTCGAATGACCTCACACCCTCTCGTGAATACTGCGCCTCACCCTGATGCGGTGTGTGATTCTGCCTCTTGATTGTTCATCAATATGA